AGTTTTACATGCATACTGAATCATAAACATCTTAAAGACATCTTCTTGACATCTGATAGGAAACGTCCAATAGACGTCTCTGTGATGATATCAGGGTTAGGAACAAAAACGTGATGATGCACCAGAGAACAGAATGTTTCTTGATAAATAAATAAAAACGTCCACTTTAACCTTTAAAGGTGAGAGACTTACAAAACAGATTTTTAAATTCCATAACACAGACACGGTGATTTAAACTAGTTTAGCGCCTGATGAGACAGCGTTTTTCAATCTACAAATTGCCATCATTTACCATGGATTTACTGTAGTAACACTAACTGCACCATGGTATTGTGGCAGAAATGTGGGATATTCATATCCAATTTTATGATATTATTAATGTACCCATGTATTAAATATATTAAAGGAGTAATGGAATATATATATATGAAGTGTTTGTCATGTTCTGACCATAAAGAGTCGTTTAAAACCACAATCTGCTTTCGACAACTTTCAAAACTCTGCCTTTAAACTTGAAAGAAATAAAGATTTGACATGTATCGTGATAATTATCGATTTCGACTGATATGAAAAATCTTATCGTGATTTCTTTTGGCCATTTCGACCTATAACGATAATTAACGTCCACACCAATGAACAATAAGTTTGTTTACTATACGCACACTGAAGTTTTGCCATCTGCCACATTAAATGGTTAAGTCAGGTTGATTCTGATTGGCTGTCAATGATTTTAACGTCAAATCTGATTCCAGCGATATCATTTCTTTTGTCTTCATTGCTATAGCTGTGCTTATAATGTATCAAAATATATCAAAACTTTATATTACATGCCTGTTCACACCAATCACTATACATTTATATAAAGGTCAGACATGCTAATCACTAATTATCTGCTGCAATGTGATGATCTCTTTAATACTTTGAGGCCTACTCTCTCAGGAACGCATGCATGCATAAACATTCCAATTTAATTAACAACTTAATATCTTCTTCTTATCTTTGATGTTTTACAGTCCAGGTTCCACTGGGATTTTAATAGATGTGTTGATATGACACAAACTAAAATTAAGTTTTAGTTTATATCAAATATAGAAAGAGAAAACTTGAATCTGGTATTTTGAGCATGGCTATTTTAATGCAGCTGATTACTTCATTTATTGAAGACACTTCATGTTTTATACCACGAGGCTGCTGAATGCATGATTCTGATTGGTCAACAAATGTTCTAAGGTGTGCAATTATTTTTCAGTAAATGCACAGCTTTTGGAGCAGTTCTAGGTCTGCCAACCGCATTATAGGTCCATATCGTTTAATCAAATTATTTCAGTTATTTTCAACAGCCTGCAACAGAAAAGTAATAAAGAGAAGAATTAAAATGAAAAAATATTGAGAAAACAAAAAAAATACAAGACACTGGCCAAGCAAACAGTTATGATAAATATGATAAAAATGTCACATGATACAAATTACCTTTTATTATTTATGGCAGGCATGTTTTCTCTCTGCATGCACAGAACTTACAGCATTTAGGAAATAAAATAAGCACACCTTCAAAATACGCAACGCTACGTTAAAGCAGACTACAAATGAAACACCGGAAAAACTAATTGTTTTAATAGTTGTATCGTTGACATACTAAATTCCACTTTATGCATCCAATTTTTTACTCTCTCCATCTCCAGGACCAGTATTATTTATAGCTTTATATTTCATTGACAAAAAAACATCCAGGCTTTGTTTGGTGCTCCAAGGCATCTTCCATCATCCCTCTTTTTCTGTTTGACACAAACCAGCAAGCAGCTTACAACTCAAACAAACCGCAGAGATTTAAAAAGTCTCTTCCTCTTAATAAGAACCTCTGCATTTGTTGTAGCACACACAGCGGGTGCATTTAAAACTTTACAAGATTTAACTGTGAAAAGTAACTTAATAAAACCTATTGGTTACACTGACATAAGCAGGTCTTTTAACCCTGACAACTATAGCATGCACCTCCTTCAGACATGAATGTATTGATGAACTTGATGTTAAAATGTATGGCTGGTGTTTGGCTGGTTCTGGTTCACGCTGCTATTGCTTGATTATGTTTAATTTCATTTTCATATTTGTTTCCCTGAAAGAGCATGGCAGGTAGCACCAACACAGACCTGAGGTCAGCAGAACTTTTGTAGCAGGTTATTTTATGCACATTATTCTTTCAAGTCATTTTACTAGTTTAATTAAAATATGCAAACATATATGCCGCTTAAAAAAGGAAACTGAAAAGTGCAATATTACAATATTCTAATATCCCCTGCATATGCACTTTACTCTCCGTGTAAAAGGATAACAGAACAGCAATACTCAGTCATTCTCTAAGCATTTTAGTACGAATTAGTGGCAAGGCTGAAGGAATATTCTGGTTTAATATAAAAGCTCAATCAACAGCATTTTTGACATAATGTTGAATACCACACACTCTCAGAAAAAACAAAAAGGTACAAAAGTTGTCACCTTTTAGGTACTAATATGTACCTTTAAGATACCAATATGGACCCTTTAGGTACAAACATGTACCTTTTGAAAAAGTGACAGCTTTCGTACTTTTTTTCTGAGAGTACAAAAAATTATTTTGACTTTGTAGAAAAGGAAAAATCAAGGATAATGCAAGTAAATGGGGCTGATTTTGGGGGGATTTAACAGAAGAAATGTGAAGTTTAGAATTTAAAAAGACACTTATATTCATTATTCTGTTAAAAAAGGTGTCATTGATCTCATCATTTTATGTTTAGTTTATGGCATACAAGACATTGTCATAGCAACAAAGCTGTAAAATAATATACATCTTCATACAAAAAAATGTTAATAAGCATTTTTTTTTCAAACTAAAATAATTTTATCTAACAGTTATTTTATCATATATATATGATATATAGCAGACATACAACACACTCAGACTAGATGCAATAGGTAACACTTTAGTTTAGGGACTAATTCTCACGATTAACTAGTTGCTCATTAGCATGCATGTTACTAGAATATTGTCTGTTTATCAGTACTTATAAAGCACATATTAATGCCTTATTCTGCATGAGCATATTTTAGATCCCTTAATCCTAAACCGCATACCTAAACTTAACAACTAGCTCACTAACTATTAACAAGCAGCACATTAGGAGTTTATTGAGGCTAGAGTCAGAGTTAATAGTGAGAACTGGACCTTAAAATAAAGTGTGATTATACAATGCATACAATAAAAAATAAACAGGTTGAAATAATAATTTTTTTCAATAAATTCCAGATAAATTTGTATGCATGATTCTAGTCTATAGTTGTCTTGGGTAAGAATGTTCTAAATAGACACGAATGAATAATGTTAATGACGTATTAATGGAAGTCATTATGAAGTATTACCAACACATACAGTTCATGGAAGTGATCTAAACAGCTGCTGTCCAAACACAGCTGATGAGAGCGGTGCCAGTAATATCACAGACACTTCTTCATGAAAAAACAAACACAGCAGGACAAGAACAGGAAAGAAAAAAATAAGGATTGTGATGGAGAAATAGATAGTGTCATGCAGAGGTCAAGATCTTATTAAGAAGACATTTGTGCTGCTTGCAGGTTGTTGACAAAGGTACAGGAAGAGAAACTTTACTTTGTGTGTGTGTGTGTGTGTGTGTGTGTGTGTGTGTGTGTGTGTGTGTGTGTGTGTGTGTGTGTGTGTGTGTGTGTGTGTGACAAATAAACATACACTCTAAGAAAAGTACGTAAAAGGCCCAATGTACAGTGTTAACATGATTTCGTGTTGATTTAACGGAAATGTATGTGTAATTTTTTTTTTTTTTGCAAGGACATTATAATTTTTTCTATGGATCTTTTCTTACAATAAAACAAAAGAGTTTACTGACTGACATTTACAACTGCAAGAAAAGACAGTTTTCTTAAAATGTCTTTTCATTATGGTAACTTCTGCTGTATTTCAATGATTAAAAGAACACTGAAACATAACAATACAATCAAAACATAGAATGTTAATTCTGCTGTCCCCTCTTTTTTCCATTGATCAAGTAGCTCACATAGATGCTGACGTTTATTTCCTTACAGGAACATTTTACGATGTCTACCTCCCCCTGGTGGGTAGATAGGGTACTATATTTTCAGTTATATACTCAGAAATTGGCCCAGTCATGACAAAGATTGTGTGACAGATAAAATGCTTGGAACATTTGTCTAAATACACAAATGCAATTTATTTTTGTGCAAACACACACACACACACACACACACACAAAGCCTTTTTTAAGACTTACGCAATTTAATTAATAGTAAAATGCCATCAAATTGAATTGAATAATCCTGACGTACTTTAATTGAATAACTGAACAATCCTTAATCAATTATTTAATTGAAATACGTAAGGATTATTTAATTCAATATGATTTTATATGTGTGTTTATACAGTTGTTTACATTCAGAATCTGCTTAATGTGCCCTGTCCTGACTAAGCTATTTGACGTAATGGGTGTTTACACGCAGTCCACAAGATCAAATAACAGCTGAATATCTCAGAATTGTGAGATAAAGAGCCACAATAAAGTAAGAATTGTTAGATATAAACTCGCAATTGCGAGAAAAAAAGAGTCAGAATTGCGAGATATAAGGGCGCAATTCTGAGAAATAAAGCCAGAATTGTGAGATATAAACTCGCAGTTGCGAGAGAAAAAAAAGTCACAATTCCCTTTTTCTTTTTTATTGAGTGGCAGAAACGGCCTTCCATACTTGACAACTTATCCGTCAAGCATCTGTATGCTCTGTTTTCATGTTTCACAGAGATGGAGAAAAGCTGTGTGTGATCCAAAGGTTTTACATCCGTCTTCAACTGGATGAGTTCCTCCGTTTTTAAGATTTGAATGAACCGGTAAAGCTTGTGGCATTCAATGTATAAAGCGCTTGCCATACAGCAGCGTCACCGCGCTTTGCCTTCGCCGTAGTAGATTCTATTCGGTAGTTGCTTTGGTAACTCACGTAAACGAATGGCGTCCATGATGAGCTTTTAATCGTTTGAACGTCTGATGATTACATGCTATATCTAAAACCAGCATGCATGTTTGCATATTAATGAATGATCGCATTTAAACAGTCGATACGATGGATGATGAGCCTTTTTCTACAACGCTTGCTTACACGAAAAGCCCTAAAACATCCAGAAGAACAACTTTTCAGGTATTGTATCAAATCATTAGCGTGCTACAAAGTAAAGCATTTCTTTAGATTGTCTCAAATCGCAGTGAGCCGCAAAAATACTCTCTATGACACGTGCATGTTCTTCAATTTCAGGATGAGCTGAAGACAGCTGTGTCTGCTAGAGCCAACAGGCATAGCTACTCTGATGACTTTGATGATGATGATGATGAAGATGGTAAAGTTGATGATGATGATGGTTGGTTTTACAGTGTCATGCTTGTTTAAAACATCTTCACTGCATGGTATACTGATGATACTCATGCCACTGACCTTACCCTGAATCAGCTTGTTTATCCTCTTATATAACATGATTTGTATGCATGCACTTCAGTTTTGCCACTGTGTTCTTTACCTTTAAACACTTGAATTCAGCAGACATACTCAACGAACTCCTTAAGATGCAAAAACAGAAGAAGGCGAGATTTAAAGCTGGGAAGACCAAAGGCAAAATCAACGATTTCAAGCTTTCGGGTGATGAAGAGGAAAATGTCAAACCCAAAAAAGTATCTTTTCTGAAAACCAAAAGGACCAGCTCGCCTGTGAACTCCGAACAGCTGAACTCCATGAAAAGTGAAGGTGACCAGCGTAGTTCTGTCCATTCGCAAAGCAATTCTTACAATCCGCAGTCCCCGGATTCCCCTTTTTCCTCTCTATCTGACAAGTTCCTACCAGAGTCCGCGTTACCTTACGAGCAGTCCAAATCAGTCATGCATTCGAGGAACCAGACCGAATCTGTGGTGAGGAAGAGCCTGACAGAATCTCCACTGCTACTAAACTCTGAGAACAGCCAATGGGAATCCTGTCCAGAGCCATTGCCTTCAGAAAAACATGAGGACAACCAAAGGATTGGTGAAGATAGTGAACCACCCGTTCCTCAACCCAGGGAGAGAAGCGTTAAACCAAAACTCTCCACAGGTCAGGGCAGTCTTTGCATCTATGCTATTGTTTAAGGTCTGCCATCTTTGCAAGATAACACTAATAACACTACTGTCTGTGTTTGTACACTGCCTGGCCATTTGGATTTAAATAAGCAAAATACTGAAGAGTCTAGGATTGGATCATTATTGCAATGTGATGCAATGTGTAGCTTTTTATTTCTCAAACATCTGTGTACTCATGAACATATCCCAGGATGACGATGCCAAGATTCATCAGGCTCAAATTGTGAATTCAGTGAGCATGAGGAATAATCTTCATGTAAGAAAAGGCACCACAGAGTCCTGAGCTGTTCGACTCTCCCAGTGTCAATACAAGATCTCAGCTAAACATCAATGCAACTCTTTATGGAAATAAATACTGTCATGTTGCATGACCAGTGTTGGGGAAAGTTACTTTTAAAAGTAATGCATTACAATATTGTGTTACTCCATAAAAAAGTAACGAATTACGTTACTTAGTTACGTTTTATGGAAAGTAATGCGTTACGTTACTTGTTAAATCTGGACAGGGCTTGCTTGTTTGTTTTTAAAATAAAAAATTATATTTCTGGCAAATATAAAAGCCTTTTCACCCCAGAAGTGAAATGAATAAGCCTCAGGCGGAAGGGAAAGTACAGTAGAATGCAGAAGAACACACTTCAGCAATAAACAAAGACACACAGATGTTCGTCTAGAGTAATGTGTGCTTATTAGTACGCTTGAACTGGATCATCGAAGCTCAGAAGCAAATAGAACGGGATTAAATACATAAAGCATATTTGTGTTGTTTAACATTTAATTATTGCAGGTTTGCGTCATATTCTGAGTTGCGTTATTTTTATTCATTTTGAGGAATACTGAATCTGTTTGTTTTTGTTTGTTTTTTGTGAGTGAGATGAATTAATGCAGATTCATATTTATTTTAGAGCTACAGTAACATCTGATTTCTCTCAGCATGGCGACAGGAGAGCTGTCAGTCAATACATTGGAAACAAAGTAACTTGCGTTACGTATTTGAAAAAGTAACTCCGATATTCTCTTGTAAATTAAAAAGTAATGTGTTACTTTACTAGTTACTTGAAAAAAAGTAATCCGATTACATAACTCGCGTTACTTGTAATGCGTTACCCCCAACACTGCCTGTGTTTTTGTATTATAAATGTTTGCTTAAACTCTGTAGGGCTGTCAAAATGGCTGAAAAACTAAATTCGAATTTTGTACTTGAATATTATCAAAATTCTAATTATATTTGAATTTAAAATGCATAATTTCAGTTAGCTTTTGGCTTCTCTCCTGAGGCCACAAGAGGGCGCATCGAAGAAAAATATTACTAATGCACGTTTATTCAAAGCATAAGATAACATTACTATCTGTGAAAAAAAAAAGTGCATAATGTTTCAAATGTTTGTAAACCAATTATAATTAAGTTGCTTAAACAACTATATTCTGAGTTGCGTTATTTTTATTCATTTTGAGGAATACTGAATCTGTTTGTTTTTGTTTGTTTTTTGTGAGTGAGATGAATTAATGCAGATTCATATTTATTTTAGAGCTACAGTAACATCTTCTGATTTCTCTCAACATGGCGACAGGAGAGCTGTCAGTCAATAAATTTGAAAAAAAAAAGTAACTTGCGTTACGTATTTGAAAAAGTAACTCCGATATTCTCTTGTAAATTAAAAAGTAATGTGTTACTTTACTAGTTACCTGAAAAAAGTAATCTGATTACGTAACTCGCGTTACTTGTAATGCATTACCCCCAACACTGTGCATGACTTTATCAAAACAATGCCACAATTAATGCACAATACAATCAAAGCTAAAGGTGCTCAGGACTCTGATGAATCTTGACATTGACATCCTGGAATATGTTCATGGTTACGTCTTCCGACACGGTTGTTTGAGAAATGAAAAGCTACACATTGCATAATTTAGGGTTAAAAGAACTGTTGCCAAACACACAACATGCTAGAAACATATTAATCACTGCAATTACAATCCAGTCCTAGAGTCGTCTGTATTTGTATGCACCAGCCACTATACAATTAGCTTAAGAAATGTCAGAAACTAACAATTAAAATACACTTTCTTTAATGTAAACAGGTTGTCCTACTCAAGACATGTCACCCAGACCCAAACCCAGACAGAGGACAGTGAATATGTGTGACTTTCGTCAGTTAGAAGAGAAAACATCAGCAGAGACGCCTGCCTACAGCAGAACAGCCACGTCTTCTATGTCTATAGCCCTCTCTTCTGAGAAGAGTCAAACCTCTGCATGTGACAGTGTTCTGGTGAGAACGGCTTGATAATGGAAATAAAAAAGTGTCAGCAGAAACCCATTTAAATGCTGTAAATGCTAAAGCTTAGAGATGTTACATTTTTCAATTGCAAGTATGAATTTAGTCGACCCATTTGTATGCTTTCACATTTATTAAGGTTTTAACATCCATGGAAACTTTCCATTGCACAAAAGATTCTAAATTGTGACCCTGGAGCACAAAACCAGTCATAAGGGTCCATTTTTTGAAATTGAGATTTATGCATCATCTGAACACTGAATAAATAAGCTTTCCATTGATGCATGGTTTGTTAGGATAGCACAATATTTGAAAATCTGGAATCTGAGGGTGCAAAAACATCTAAATATTGAGAAAATCATCTTTAAAGTTGTTCAAATGAAGTTCTTAGCAATGCATATTACTAATCAAACATTAAGTTTTAATATATTTTACGGTAGGAGATTTACTAAATATCTTCATGGAACATGATCTTTACTTAATATCCTAATGATTTTTGGCATAAAAGAAAAATCTATAATTTTGACCCATATACCCCAGCGACTTAACACTGCTTTTGTGCTCCAGTCTCACAAATATTCTTCAAACTAAGAAAAAATCGTTCTTTGAGGAGCCCAAAATGATTTACAGTGTCTATGGCGTTGCTGCGAAACCCGTTTTGAAACCTTTGTTTTTAAGAGTGTAGAATCTGTTGTTATTGTCTAGTGCTAGTTAATATCTCACAAGCTGATCAGGTCTAAATCAAGGCGATGGTTTGAAAGACCCTTGCTTTGTTTTTCGACCACATGATTACTGCAGGATCCAGATGAAGACCAGGTCATGCCAGAGAGTTGTTCACCAGCAGAGATAATGTCTGAGGCTCCAGACGCTGTAGGCAGCGGTATGTGCGGAAACCATGCTCAGAGACTCTGTAGTAATGACATTGCATTTTGGTAAATTGGTATTGGTCATCTGTGACCTGACATGTAATCATTTAAAGTAAATTATAGTTAAGTACTGTAGTTATTAATCATTTTAAATATGCAATTTTCATTGCAGCTGCCTCAGAAGAGAGCAAAGAGAGAAATTATTCAACATCCTTTGAAGAAAAGCATGCAAGTCAGGTGAAAAGATCTTGTTCTGATGGTTTTCTAAAAAAAAGGCATCTGTTTCAGCATTGTACGACATGTTACTAAAGGAAGCAGTACCCAACAAATCAAGGTCATTTACGTGCCATGTCAAATTGTAAATGCTACTGTAATTCTTAAGTAAATCTGTCTTCATGCACTTGTCCAAGCAGGAGAGTTTGCAGGGTGCCCTTGACCTTGAAAGATCAGCAGACAGGTCAGTGAATTTGTTTAATACCTCATGCTGTATATGTGCACGATGGACTTCTGAAATCTTATTTTAAAGGTGTAAAATCATTATCTCAACAAGTTTATGCATTTCTAAACACTTCTTTTAATTATTTCTCAAGCTATTTTTTTTATCTTGCCTTCTTGGAGGCACATATTAATCATATAATAAAACAGTTTTCACTTGGTCACACACTGATATGCATGTTCATCATTGTAATCATATCTGTAGGTTTTTAATGCTTTAATCAGTAAAACATTATTTAATGCACTTTTAACTCAGAAGCATGCACCAAACATTGAAACTCATCGATAGTGAACAACATCTTCTGGACATTAGACCTTCAAGCTCTCGGTCATCCAGTTCCAGAAAACACAAGAGCTCTTATAAAGCAGAGTCGAAATACCTGGGAGCGCTGAAGATTTTGGACCAGAGGACAGAGGAGAGCCAACGGGTTCCAGAAGCAGCAGATTCACTAAGAGCTGCTGTGTACCAGGTGTCTAGAGACTCGCCAATGATTTTTAGACCCTTTTAATGCATCTAAAATGTGTTCGAATAATTTTTTTCTTTCTTAAAAGGAATGGCTAAAAAAGAAAGAAGGAACTTTAAAAATAACAAGGAGCGCAAAAAAGCAGGAAGAGAAATTAAAAGAGGAGAAAGTGCAAGAAGTAATGTTTAATGCACATTTGAATTCTTTAGTCGCCACAATCCTGGTGTGATTTATTAAATGTTTGTCATTTCACTTCTAGGACAAGCTTGCTAAAATTGCAGATGCAAAGGCCTCTTATGATGCCTGGAAAGAGAAAAAAAGTGAAGTCGTTAGAATGAAAGCCAAAGAAAAACAGGAGGCAATAAAGCAACAACAAATGGAAATGGATAAAAAGCGAGAAAAAAACGAAACAGCAAAACAGGTAATTATTCAAATGTAGTTCTCTTTCGAAGCTACTTCATCATAAAAAAATTAAAAAAAAAGATCTCTCTTTATTAATTCCTTCTCTTTCTAGCTTGTACTTATTTGAACAATGTCTAAGAACTTGGTATTACAAGCACTTCTTGTGTCTGTTTGCAAGAAAAAAACGAAACAGCAAAACAGGTAATTATTCAAATGTAGTTCTCTTTCGAAGCTACTTCATCATAAAAAAATAAAAAAAAAGATCTCTCTTTATTAATTCCTTCTCTTTCTAGCTTGTACTTATTTGAACAATGTCTAAGAACTTGGTATTACAAGCACTTCTTGTGTCTGTTTGCCTCTTTAAGAAGAATCGCTTTATGTATCCCCCAATTGTAAGTCGCTTTGGATAAAAGCGTCTGCTAAATGACTAAATGTAAATGTTATTGGCAAGAAAAAAAACTAATGGCAACTGGTCAAATTTTTTCGTTGGTTATTATAACATTGTGTTTATTAGAAATATAGTAAATACTTTATTAAAAAGGCATTAGGCATTTGTTCAGGATTTATCCACTACAGGTGCACAACATTAAAACTATATTTGAAGAGTTCATTTGCAAAACAGATAACTCCGTTTTTAACAATTCTCAAAAATCATGTTTTTTTCATTGTGCATTCCAGTTAATCTTAAATTTTCCAGTTAATTTTGACTAGGTTAAAAAATAACTTTAAATAAAAACATCTAACTAACACAATAAATACATGATAACATAATAAAAAACATGATTTTTGGAAATGTAAAAAAACAGAGTTATCTGTTTTTGCAAATAAACTCTTCATTTTCAAACAGACATTCTATTTTTTTTTCTTAAAAAAAGGATAAAAAGAAGATCGTTAAGCATTTCCAGAAAGACAAAAAGTTGTCTGAAAAATACACACACTCCAGTGCCAAGGCCACATAAATCTATCCGATCAGAGCTGTCAGAATACGCTGATGGTTTGAGAAAAGCAAAAAAAACACTTAAAAAAAATTTACGGTAAAAAAACGGCAGCTGTGGTTGCCGGAATTTTACTGTAAAAAATACGGTTGCAGTGTTTTTGATTTTACGGTTTTAACTTAAATTTACAGTTAAATACCGTGATTTTATTAACTGATATAAATGTTAATATACTAACCTATTGAAGTACTGAAATCTGTTTTGTAGCTTTGTAATACACTGATAACCACCAAATGCAGGAGGTGATGAGAAAGTCACATGATGAACCAAAGCCCATCACAAGCAGCTTTTAAATAATAACATATATAGAAGGTGCACAGGAAACACTACTGTCAATCAAACTATCGTGGGAGGGGCCTGACAGTGTGACGTCACTCAGGGCGGAGCTAAGGTGAGACACGAGTCCAGTCTGTGCTGAAACACTACTGTCAATCAAACTATCGTGGGAGGGGCCTGTCTGTGTGACGTCACACAGACCGGCATCTGAGATCGGCTCGATTTGAGAAAGGAAAAAATTTAACCAGATTTTTAAAAAACACTGGGTGGATTTTTATCATTATAGGGTGGTTGTGTACACACACTGCAAACACACATTTCAGTTCAAACTACTTGTAAAAGTGCATGTAGCATCCTATGACCCCTTTAAAGCTTAAAGATCTCTTTAAATTTATTTATTTACTCCCCCTCAGGCCATCCAAGATTAGGATGAGTTTGTTTCTTCATCAGATTTAGAGAAATGTAGCATTGCATCAGTGTCTCAGCAATGGATGCTCTGCAGTGAATGGGTGCCGTCAGAATGAGAGTCCAAACAGCTGATAAAAACATCACAATAATCCACAGCACTCCAGTCCATCAGTTGACATGCTGAAGCTTTAAAGCTAAAAGCCATCTGCTTGAAATAAAACCCCTAATGCAGCATGATGTCTTTAGATAAATCATTTAGCGCAGAGACAGGAATTCAATATTGAATTGCGGATATAATACTAGTGGCTTTTGGGACATTCAAAGACAGACAGGACAGTAATTGACAGAATCGAAACTCTGAGACCCTCTTATTCTATTTTTATGTTGTTCCCTTGTGCTCGGTGAGTATTGATTGGTCTGTTCCTCTCAGTTGATTGATCTTTCATGGGCCAGTGGCTATCAGAATTACTGATCTTGAGGGAATAAATTTCATTTGTAAACCATATCGTTTTATAGTCTGTAGGCTTCTCTGTTGGGCATAAAAACACAATCCCTCTCTATATCACAACTAAAAGCTGTAATTTGGCCATCTTATAATTCTAAATACCAGAAAGTCTCATTTTATGAACTATGTCCAGTTAATATGGAACATGAATATCCATAACAGACTAGTTGAGACAACTGCCAACCGGACAGACCTGTTGCTGTTATATGAACTTAGAAGATAGGATTTTCTGAGAATATTGATGTTTTAAGAGATTCAGTTTTAGAAAGTAAACACAGAAAGCAGCTGGTTTGCTGCCTCGCTGCCCAATAAAATTGTTGATTCACACACGGCATTTTTGTATAAAGCTTTTATACTTCTGCTAAACTTGTTTCAGACCAGCTTTAAAGGCACCATATATTAAATTCAAGTGAGTTTTAGAAACAACCAAGCAAATACTTTATGACTACAGTGCTTATTCTTTGACAGAAATCAAACAAAAAATGAGTCATTATTCTTTTGACAATCTGTCAAATCCATTGTTTTATTATTTTTTTGTATAACTGAGATTCTATTAAAGTTTGTTTTATGTCTTGAATTAGTTTTATTGTTGTAATTTCCATTTTAATTTAAATTTGTTTTAGTAATTTTGTGGAGTGTTTTTGTCATTTTATTAGTTTTTTAAAAATGTTTAAATGATGTAGTTTTTATTATTATTATTATTATTTATATATATATATATATATATTTATAAATTTTAGTTTTTGTTGTTTAGTACATCAAGTTAAATGAAATGAAAATGAGAAATGTCACTTTGCTTCTCTCTAGTTTTAGGTAACTATAATAACCCTGGATGAATCACATGTGCAAGATGAGTGAGTTATAGATACCTTTTTAATGTTTCAGGAACGTTTTTCCATTAAATAACATTTATTTTCACAGGAAACGAACATAAAAACTAGAATATATTCAATGTGAGATCCCTGTCTCACTGATTCTTTTTACAGATCATATATGCTAACTCCAAATACAACCAAATACATATTGCATTATAACAAAAAATACAGTATTCCAAACCAATTACGTGTTTAGTCACAAAGTCACCACAATTATCTCATAAATTTGAGCACAAAAGCAGTGTTAAGTCGCTGGGGGATATTTGTAGCAATAGCCAACAATACATTGTATGGGTCACAATTATACATTTCTCTTTTATGCCAAAAATCATTAGGATATTAAGTAAAGATCATGTTCCATAAAGATATTTAATAAATGTCCTACCGTAAAATATATCAAAACTTAATTTTTGATTAGTAATATGCATTGCTAAGAACTTCATTTGAACAACTTTAAAGATGATTTTCTCAATATTTAGATTTTTTTGCACCCTCAGATTCCAGATTTTCAAATATTGTTCTATCCTAACAAACCATACATCAATGGAAAGCTTATTCATTCAGCTTTCAGATGATGCATACATCTCAATTTTGAAAAATTTACACTTAAAGGAACACTCCACTATTTTTGAAAATAGGCTAGTTTTCCAACTCCTCTAGAGTTAAACAGTTGAGTTTTACCGTTTTCGAATCCATTCAGCCGATCTCCGGGTCTGGCGGTAGCACTTTTAGCTTAGCTTAGCATAGATCATTGAATCTGATTAGACCGTTAGCATCTCGTTCAAAAATGACCAAAGAGTTTCTATATTTTTCCTATTTAAAACTTGACTCTTCTGTAGTTACATCGTGTACTAAGACCGACGGAAAATGAAAAGTTGCGATTTTCTCGGCAGATAAGGCTAGGAACTATACTCTCATTCCGGCGTAATAATCAAGGAACTTTGCTGCCGTACCATGGGTGCAGCAGGCGCAATGATATTACACAGCGCCTGAAAATAGGCTAACTTCCGTCAACATAACCAACGTGACCACCTGCTTGCACAGGGAGCGTGCTGGGGACTATTTTCATGTGCTGCGTAATATAATTGCGAAACTCTTTGGTCATTTTTGAACGAGATGCTAACGGTCTAATCAGATTCAATGATCTATGCTAAGCTACAGCTAAAAGTGCTAACGCCAGACCCGGAGATCGGCTGAATGGATTCGAAAACGGTGAAACTCAACTCTTTAACTCTAGGGGAGTCGGAAAAAATGAGCCTATTTTCTAAAATAGTGGAGTGTTCCTTTAAGACCAGGTCCAGGGTCACATATCAGACAATTTGAGTGTCCAGTTTTCAGATTTACTTACAATGCTTCTTTACAGTAGACTTTTTGGATTTTTTGTCCGTATTATGTCAGCATTTTGTGTTTTGAAAGCAAGCGGTCATCACAGCCGAGTGTTTTCTTGTGTGAAGGCCACACTGATTGCATTTTGCTTATTGCGCGTGCATTTCTCGCTTACTGTCTCACTGCTACAAACCCTTCTCATTCCATTGCTTAACCTTCCACACTTGAACACGGCCAAAAAAGATCTTCTATAGTTCCTGTTCATCCAGCCATACAGGATGGGATTGGCAAACGTGGAGCACATGGCCACAATATGGAAAGCCGTATAGAGCAATCTGTAGTCTTTCATTTCCAGTACGCTGCTGTCAATATCCACAGCAAGCTGAAAGGCGTGAAAGGGCAGCCAGCTAACGGTGAAGACCACAACTACGGCCACCAGCATCTTTGTCGTCTTCTGTCGGCGCTGATGGCGGTCGCTGCGGACACCGCCGGGGCTGATGTGATTTCGTAGCTTGTTCCAGATCCGAGTGTACGCAAATGAAATGATCGACAACGGCAGGCCGTACTGCAGAAAAAACATGGCGATGCTGTAGACGGTCCCATCCGCACTACTTCCAGGCCACTTCTCGGCGCAGCCCTGAATCGTCCGCTCAGGCGATAGATCAAAAGTCACGTATTCGCGGAAGATAGCTAGAGGACTGGCGAGGATCGCGCTTGCCACCCATGTGATCGCAATGACAACCATGCACATGTCTTTTGACATCTTGGTTTCCATGTGGTAGACAATGCTACGGTATCTGTCCAGTGCTATAACGTTGAGCGTGATGGTCGAAACGTGGACGGCTAAGCCTTGCGCATATGGCAACAGGTAGCACATCACCTGTCCGAATTTCCATTCTCCATAGAGCGTGTACATCAAAGTAAAAGGCAAACACAATGTGTTGACCAACAAGTCTGCTACAGCCAGGTTGACAATGAAATAGTTAGTCACCGTGTGTAAATTTCTAAACTTGTACACAACATATATGACCAAGGAGTTGCCGGTCACGCCAAAGATGATGATGGTGCTGTAAGCCAAAATCAAGATCACTTGAACACCCACCAGTTCTGTGCTGTCTTCCAGTAAGATGCCCTCAATTTGGATAGTGGCTGGTGTAGAAGAGTTTGTGGACTGAATTTCGTCTTCAGATATGTTCATTTCGGTTCTTATATCCATTTTATTTAGCATTTGTTCACTTACTCTGGAAAAAAAAAGAGTAAAGTGAAAATGAAAAATGCATTGAAATTCTAACAGAAAAATGCAGCCAAACAAAATAATGAAATGCTGGATGCACTGTTATTATATCATCAGTGATTAAAACTCTGCTTCAGATTGGGATTTTATTTTAATGCATGCATTGTCGATTTAATGCATAGCATGTTTTAATACTTGATGAATATGTGAGCATGTTAATTCATATTTTATATGAATAAATCAATCAAAATGCGTAGCATTCAACTGTTTGAGTGTACACTTATCTATAAAGCATTAGTATAAGATTATTATGCACAGTTGCACGTACTAAGTCTTGTAC